CGGAGCAGAGAGGAGCCCAAAAAACCAGCCCTGGGCTCATCCCCGGCAGCGGGACGGAGCAGAGAGGAGCCCAAAAAACCAGCTGAGAGCTCAGGCCAGCGCGCTGGGACCTATCTCCCCCCGTGTGGGTCTCACCTGGGTGACAATGGCATCAAGGCCGCTCTGTCCCCACGCGTAGTCCCCGGGATTCGAGTGCAGCATCCCGCTCCTGCGGACGGGAGCGGAGAGTCAAGGAAACCGTTTCGCTCGCCCCAAACCAGCCCCTGGGGTTTGCTCATCCTCCCAGAGGAGCCACAACTGGGGGAACGGAGCTCCCCAGCACCAGAGCACGGCTCTTTACTGGTGTGGAGCCGTGATCGAAGCCACAGTGTAAACCACGGCGGCTACTCACCAGGAAAAAGGGTGCTGGGAGCCAGGAATCGCTGAGTTTGCAAAAAACCCTGCAAAGATTTGCTGTATGATTCTAAAGAGGGAGGAAACGAAAGGAAAAATAAAAAATGAATAAGTAGAGCAAATAAATACAGAGCAGCAGCAACAGTTTAGCAAGAACGGGCGGCAAAACATGAAATTCCGCTCCGACCGACGGATGTTGGGACAAGGTAAATCCCTCGGCAGAAGGGCGAGCCCCCAGACAGGCACGGCCCGGGAGGAAGGAGGGATGCGAACTCATCGGAGTGTGGGAGGGCTGGGAGAGGAGAGGAAATGACTGCGCTTCCCAAGCACTGACTCGTTTCCCCGTGGTGAAGGTTGGCACCGGCACAAAACCCACCTTCCCCACCACGCAGCTTCGATTCGTGCCGAGGGGGGACAAAAGGAGGAGCATCCCACGCGAAAATCTGCATTTTTGGGGTCCGAGGGTCACCTACCACCAGCGCCAGGATCTATTTTGTCACGTTTCTCCCCCAAATCTCACATTTTTATACCAACAGGGGAGGGAGATGCTTTCAGGGGGTAATTCGGGCACTTACCCCTCGATAGCAGGAGATCTGTCGGGGCGCGAGCTGCCCCGGGATCGGTACCTCCGTGTCATGGGCAATCGCGGGGGTCGGCTTGGTCCCCAGAGGTCGGCGTGGGCTTGGTGGCCCCTCTCGTTGTCCCTGCTGTCCTGATCCAGTGAGCTGCTACTCAGGAAGGGTCGGAAATCCGGGAAGAACATCGTGTGGTCCAAATGGTCCCAAAGCTGCATCGGGGAGGAGGGGGGGAGAAAAGGGGAGACACACAAACCACGCGCGGCTCCGTCACTGATCCCGGTGACTCCGCTGCCGCCTCGGAGGCGGGGAAATCCACCTCGAGAGAAACAACCGGGCAAATTCGCACGGTTACCATGGCTCCCAGAAAAAAAATCTGGCAAATATGCTTAATTATAACCTGAGCTATCAGCTGTGCCGCCCCGGGAAGACCAAGGCGGCGGCGCTTTCCTGCTACACATGTTTTGTACCCCCGCGAGGGTCGGTGTCTCCCTCCCAGG